CCTGCAATCGAAGCAATGCTGCATTCTAACCACTGCCCCACCATGGCCCTTCCTTCCTTTGCACTTAAGACTTATATACCACTTCACGGTGCTTTGCAGGCCGTCTCTAAGTGGTTTACAGTCAGCTTCTTGGCCCCAGCCATCTCCTTCCTTCCTTTCTCCCTCCCTGTTCCTTCCTTCCATCCCTCCATCCTCTCCTTCCTACCTCGTGCGGTACTTAACACTTAAGACTTATGTACCGCTTCGCAGTGCTTTGAACAGCCCTCTCAAAGTGGTTTAACAGTCAGCCTTTCCTCCCCCCCACCCCCAAACAATCTGGGTCCTCATTTGACCGACCTGGGAAGGACGGAAGGCTGAGTCAACCCTGAGCCGGTCCGAATCGAACTGCTGGCTGTTGGCAGAGTCAGCCAGCAATGCTGCACTCTTAACCTCTGGGCCAGCCCAGTTCCTCATAAAGAGAATCCCGGGCAGAGCAGATCCCCAGAAGATGATTCTTCCATCGGAATAGAGCTGGAAGGGACCTTGGAGATCTTCTAGCCCAGCCCCATGCTTGGGGCTAGAGACCCTATACTACTTCAGACAAATGGAGGCCCAGTCTCTTCTTAAAGAAACAGGCCCTGCAATTTCTGGCAAGTAGTTCCACTGGTTAATTGTCCTCACTGTTAAGAAGTTTCTCCTTAATTCCAGGTTGCTTCTCTGCTTGAGTAGTTTCGACCCGTTGCTTCTTGTCCTGCCTTTTGGTGAACAATTTGACCCCCATCTTCTTTGGGGTGACCCCTCAAGTACTGTCCCCGTCCCCTCTCCCCCCCAGTCCTTTTCTCCAGACTGGCCAAACCCAAATCCTGCAGCCATTCTTCATATGTTTTAATCTGCGGGCCTTTAATCGTGTTTATTCTCTGCACTTCTTCCCAAAAGAATGTGTGTAGACTACTACTACATGCGTGTTCTTGTATGATATACTAGTTCGATACTCCTGTGTTTTGCTATGAAACTACGTGGCGGGGCTTAGTTTGGGGGGAAGAAAATAAGGGGGGGAAAAATTCTGCCTCTGCCTACCAGCATCCATCGGTATTCACCTGGCTAGCGTCCTGTCAGTGTGTGAGAGAGTTGAGGGCTGTTTGGAAACTGAAACAGTATTTGCTGTGTGAGCAAGAAGAGACAGCAAGGAGCCTGGGCGTGGCTTAGCTCAACTGTTCTGTACTAAAGCTGCTTGGGGCTGTGCAACGGAAACTGAAACTCCTCTGCTTGTGGTTTGCATTTGGAGCAGATTTCTTTTCAGGTGGGGAGGGCGAGTCAAACTCCTTAGCATCAGAGTGTCTTAATAATAAGAATAATATAGGAAATACTCTAAATGCTCTGATGGTCATTTGGAAAAATCCTTTCTTAGTGAGCACCTAGAAGTCAAGAGGAAGATATGTGCCAAATTTCCAAGTTTGTAGGTTTTAAGGTCCTGGAGATTTTATGATGATGCCTGAGTGATATTTCGCTTTTAGATAGATAGATAGATAGATAGATAGATAGATAGATAGATAGATAG